TCAGGCAAAAACTACAGCAATGGCGGCTGCATTGGAGCTGTGCTCTCGTTGCTCTTCTTCAGATCCAGGTTGAACTGTTCCCACTAGGATTCAGAGGCATTCCCCGTTGCTTTAGTGACAGTCAGTAATTCACTGCTGACTGTCTCTAAAGCAACAGATGCAGATTTCCCCAGTGATTCATATTTTGTTCAGTTTTAATGTGCAATGTTTGACGTTACCTGCAAACGTTTCCCTGTATCATATGGATGATGTTAGCATAGCCAGTCTGATGAAGCAACAACCAGATTAAGAGCCATCAAACTAAATTAAACGTATTTAAAATAATAACACATGATGAACATTAGATGGTTACGGCGTTTTAATTATTCTCCATAAATGCACATGTTGCTATCATTGTGTCATTTGTCGTTTCTACCGGCGTTCTTTCAATAGGATTTCACTTGTGATCTGATATGACAACTTGTGTAGCCTACGGTATGAAGTGATCACACCTGAAAGCTGGTTTAAAAACAACAGGAGAACGGGTCGTGCTGCTCCTCAAAGCGGGCCATGAGAGCGAGCGTATCTCTACGTTTGCCCGGGGAAAGTGGCGGGACATAAACAAAAGTGTGAGTCTCGTTTTGGTCACTTTGCTCGGCTCTAGTGATCTGACCCAGCCTCCACACAGATCTGGTTCTTGGTTCCAGTCCAGCAGAGCTCTGGTTCCTAACACGAACCAGTTTTTCTCATGGAAACCATGAAAGGACTGGAGAGCTATCGGGCACTAGCTCTGAACTGACCCTGGAACTGCTTTGGTGGAAAGGGGTGATAGAAATAGGATCAGATTCATCAATAACTGCAATAATCCTCAGGTGGATAATATCCTCACTCTCTCATGGAGGGTTCGATCACATGGGACACTTTATTCAAATCAGTCAGACCTTTATTCCTGATAGAAAGAGCACATATTTACGTGTTGTCCGCTTGGCAAACCTCCTCGGGCCCACATGCTGTGACATTAGCGAGGACTGCAGACAGAGAACACAGTTCAACAGAGCAGGGCTCTGCGCTGGGCCCTAAGTTGGGCATCTCTGAACCCGGCATTACAGCGCCACCTTGGAGGAGAATGGAGGTAATGATATTACACTTCAGTGACTCCAGGCAGAATTTAAGATAGACATGTTTTAATATCACATTTCACTTAGAGGATCCCTTTCTTTGGGAACCCCCAGACCAGCTTACCTGAGACTCTGCATCCACTCAGGTCTCGAAAAACATAATCTACTGTAATAGGCTTCCAGGTATCCATCACTGTGCCACCGACTGTTGTAGACATTTCCTAGTAAAGGATTAAACAGAATATATTTGTATGTATATTATTTATTTAACAGGGACATTGCACACTAAGAACCATTTCTGTAAATGTGCCAGAGTTAGCCAAGAGGCTCTTTTACATCTGTAGTCCCTGGACAGATGTTTGAACCTTAAAAACACATTTCAAATAACTAGTAAACACAATCATTAAAAACAAAGGTAACCTCAATACTGTAAACATGAATGAAAGTGTTCTAGAATCCACTTGTGATATATTTCCTCCGATGTTAGGGCATAAAGTGACAGTGAGAGCAGTGGGGAGCTCCTTCATTATTCCAGATTGATATTTCTAATGAACTCCTTTGTCCACTTGAGGGCAGGAAGGAGCAGAACCACCTGGTGCTGTGAGTCCAGCCTGCCCCGTTAGCTCTGCATGCTAGCAGCTACATGTGGTGTCACTGATAATAACTCTCTTTGTCTTCATGCTAACACATGATGCTGAGTGACTTCTGCTTCCTGAAACTCTAAGGCTGAGTATGACATTATTTCTGACACCTATCTCTGTTTAGAAGTGAACATAAGAAGAGAGTTTTAAAAGGAGAGGCTTAGAGGAGCAAACAGACTGCACGGTGTCTTCTCCATTCACCTATCCTTGCTGAACTGAAAGCTTGTTCTGTATTCATATGAATGATGTCTGATGGTGAGACAAAGGAATAATGGATCACACACAGCCTCAGTTCTCATCTCTCAGGGTGGTTAGGGTACAGAAGTCTTCTCAGGGATCAGTTCTCATTCAGAGTGCGTGTGAGGAAGGCTGGAAGACAGCAGCTTTCTAACATAAAGGATTTAGGATATGAGTTTCCCTGGCACACAGAAACAAACAGGAACACATTGCATTGGACCTGACAAAGTGTAACTCTCAACATCGGTGAGGCTGAAGGGTTAGGGTTAGGTAAGAGTCTCATGTCATACTTACTAAACTAGCAGAAAACGGAAGGCCAGCACCATGAACAGTGTTGCAAGCAGCTTGTAAACCATAATTGAAGAATGACAACTGCATCTGAAAGCAGGAACAGAAGAGAAATATTAGGAAATGCTTTTACAAATAAACTTTGATTTGAAGTTGTCTTTGCCACACAATGTCTTTGAAATGTTAATTTTGTACAAACAGCTGGACAGCCAGTCGGTGTGTAACAGGGATCGGATCAGGACTCACATTCAATGTTTTACCATTGTAGAACTGGAGAAAAACGATACCAAGTGTCTTGGTTTTGATGTTAATAAGATAAGGGTGAGGGGGAAATGACACAGCATCCACAATGTACGACATTTTGTCTGAAGCCACCCCGTCGCTGGTCACCACACAGTCAATGTCGTCCTCAGATGGGTCATTTTTTAAACAAACTTCAACCTTATTGCCGATCTTCGCCTGAAAAAACAAAAAGGGAACAACAATATGAAGGCTTTCGCTCCAAAACAGCATCGTTTCCTCTCCTCAAATGTTTGAGCTGCAAGGTGTGCTTTTAGCTACACTGTAAACAATTACCAGCATTTCACAACATTTAACAGTGTTATTTTACAGTGACATATTGTAATCAAGACCCCCTGTAATATCCCAACAAATACATGTAAAAATGACTGTATCCTTGGATTTCACAGCATTTAACTATTATTTCACAATAAAATACTGCAATCAAAATCCTCTGTAATATCACATCAAATGTTGTAATATCACAACAACATTGTAAAAATTGCAAGGATTTCACAGCATTTAAGAGTATCATATTACAGAGAAATATTGTAATCAAAAGCCCCTGTAATATCACAACTAAATATCTATAAAACAGTAGAATTGGATTTCACATTATTTAACTATTATTTCACAGTAAAGCACTGTACTCAAAATCATCTTAGCACAACCATGATAGACTGTATAAAGAGCACAACTCATTACTGTAAAATTTGAATTGTGCACTATTGCACATGTGCAGAATAGACTATTCTAATCGGCGTGTGTCCTGGCAACCCTGTCTCCTAAAAATTACGTTCCCACAGAACTAAACTGCATTCTCAATTACGTTTAGCTAGAAATGTATTTTTACAACGATTCCAGGGATGCCTGACTTGAGTTTCTAGCACCAGGGAAAGTGGAAAAAGTGCCCCAAATCAGCGTCTTAATTTACCCAGGGCCTAGTGCTTGGCTTTCGGCATGAAAATTCAGGAAACTCCCCTGAGTATTTTATTACATATCTCAACTTTGGAGAGGAGTTGGGGGACAAACGACACATCAAATCACATCTCCACATCAAACCAAAGCTAACTAGAATACTCTTGTCTGCCTAGCATGCGGGAAATTGGCGTGCTCTGTCACCACAAGAGCGAGAGTGAAAGCGGCATAATGGAAGGCTTTGTCCCGTTTTAAGCCGTAACGTTTGACATTCGGAGCAGCAGAGGGATGAATCTGAATGTACTCTTCGAGGCGATTCCAACGACACCAAGCTCAAAGCTGTCGGACCTTCCTTTGTGCCGTCTAGAGTACTGAGAGCCATGAAAACATGACCTTTAACCTTAGTTTGAGACTTGGTTGAAGGTCACCGCGGCCCCAAATTTTGCAAGCGGGTTCCACACAAGTGAAGCAACACACTCTCAAAGTCTCGAAGCGCCAAGCACCTTTTTTCAATTTTTTTCAATTTTCTCTCCCTCCCTCACCAAAGGGTGTCCAATCCTTAGCTCTAGACAGGATTTTGTGAGAGTTTGACATTAGATTGAAAAAAAAAATGTCTGGGTGAGTTACGGTTCCCATATTTCATATTTCTTATCTGGGCCCTATTTAGAGGCCCCTGGTGAAAAAAGTATATTTCCAGCCCTTTCCAAAGTCAGGTTATTAAAGATTAAAGATTATTCAACAAAACATTTCAATAACGTGCTTTAACCACTAGGTGTCCCTATCTACCAATTGGATCAAATATATAAGTCAGCCGAATTAGTGTTGATACTGAAAGGAGACGTATTGTGTGAAAAGAAATGGAATATGTTGTTTAATTGCTGATATATTTATATTTATTTTATTCTGCTGCGAAAGTTGAAGATCACGTGACATACACGCCAGAAAAAAACGTCATTTCTGGGTATTTGTCCACTGGTTTGCCTGTTAACCGTAGGTGTCACGTTTGAAGGGACGAAACGGAACGTCATCGCTCGAACGGCCAATCATATCGCGCATTGAGGAACCCAAAGCCTCCTAACAGAGATGCCTCCATCCTTTCGAAAATTCGCAGGGAGGCAACAGTCAAGGTGAACATCTGTGAGTTTCTCCAAAGCGGTTACCATCGGTAAACAGCAAGTAAGTACTGCCCATAATGTGGATTAGTGGTGGATATTATGTGCTTTCGATTGCGAACGCCAGTGGAGTAGTGTCGTGTTGGTTTGTACATGGTAGCGAATAGATAGCTAGCGTTAGCTAGTAACATTAGCTTGGTAGCAGCCATGTCCACCTTCAAGCAGGTGGCCTTAACGTTAGCCTAGCTAGTGCTAGCCAGCGCCGTATATGGCTATGGTAGATGGCTCTGGTGCTAGCCAGCCAACTGTTGCTGACTGTTCCATTTGTTGGCAGAAGGCTTATGCTGTATTCGAATGAAAGAGCGAACAATGAATACTTTAACCGGTAAGACTGGTATAATTGCCATTGGTATAAGCTAGTTAGCTTAGCATTGCTGCTAAGTTTGAATTCTGACGCCATGGTCTAACTAACTTACTAGTAGGTTAGCTGATGTTAGCTAGCTAATGAATGTTTCTTGTGCTTGGTGGTTTCATGACATTGTCTAATCAAATTAGGCCTAATCTAAATCGGTGTCAAAGTTGGTAACGTTAGTTGCTCTTACAATATTCTTAATGAATTCGTCACAGACCCTATTGCACATTGGTGTCACCACGTGTCATCACTAGGGCTGCAACACACGACTAATTTGATAATCGATTAATCTATCGATTCATCGATTATTCGGATCGTTAAGGTTTTAACTGTACTACTCAGGGTTCGTACGGGTGCTTGAAATCCTTGAAAATGCTTGACATTTGACGTGTTGTTTTCAAGGTTAGGAAAGTGCTTGAAAATGTAAATGCTTTACTTTTACAATAAATTGCTGTCTGACTGAATAGTTCGCTTTTTAGATTAAAAGAAAAGAATTGCTTCGCTTTTACATAAAACAGCTCCGCTGCGGCCTTCCCGCGCTATGCCCGCGACCTGCAAGTGTTTGTGTTGCGTGTGACCTGGGCATTCTGATGAGAGAGAGATGACTGTGTGCCAGGAGGTTGCAGTTTCAACGAGCGTTGGCTAGCAGAAGACAAATACAAGCCATGGCTAAGACGAGGGTCAAGCCCACGAGTAGCCTCCTGCAAAGTTTGCAACAATAACGATGCGAGAGTCTGCGCTGACGAGCCACATGAAAGGTACGCCGTAGAAGAGCATTTTAGATTAGGCTAACGTTGCATGTTACGTTTGTTTAAGCTAACGTTAGCAAGCTGAATAGCGATCTCGATTGAGGGATAATAATAATTGCAGGGGACAATCATTTCAGAGGAGCGTATCTATGTTAATATGTGCGTTACAGACGCCATCCTGTGGCGAGCAAAGTTTCAATCACTCAATACTTTCATCAACACTACTCTGGATGATAAAGGATTACCAAACTCTCTTGCCTCTTCACAATGTTTACAGATTCGCAATGTTTATAGGTTTGAAATGTTTATAGGTTATTGCAATGCGTAATGTTATTTCTCTGAAAACACAATTTTTTTAAATCTTATTTTACTTCTATACTATTCTAGCCTAAATTAGCTTCTACTTTTACCTGCATTTTGTACACTGTCCTGTTTTGCACTTGTCCTGTCTTGTCCCTGCACCCTGTCCAATGTTGTCTTTATGTCAGTACCTACCAGCAACACATTTCTAGTATGTTGTAAAACTACATGGCGAATAAACAGATCTTGTATCTTGCTCTAGGCCTACTGATTGCCTGCCTGGTGTTGACCGACGCGACGAGGTGTATTGCCTAAATCCAATCCACGGATTGCTTCCTAGTTGGAGGTAGGCCTAGTATGCAACACAGACCGTAGTTTATAGACTGTGCATAACTGCAGTCCCCAGCTCCAGTGCTTCCCTCCATGAAGTACTGAAGCTCAGACATTTGTTACCTGTGCAGCACACCTGAGATTAATCACTTCATCCAATACTGTTTGACAGTACATTTATGTGAGCTTACCTCTCTTGCTTCCCTGTGGTGGTTTTTTACTGCCTCTATTCCAGATTTGACATCCTCGTGATCCTGGTGTGCGTGCGCCATCCTCGAGGAAATTGCTAGTGACTGTTCGAGTGTTGTTGCAGCTAAGGTAGTTAACATTTCGATATGATTGTGTGACTGCTGTCTCGTCTAAATGGGATGCTCGACTACCTGACCTTGAACACCTTTACAACATGCTCATGTTCATAATCTGCATGCAAACTGAAAAATTCCTTTTGTTGGTTGCCTTTGTAATTTCTCCTTTCTCTGGTCTCCTTTTTTCTAGGTCATCAGAGAGGCCAACCATCCTCTTCAGTGTCAGGCAGCCAGGCTAACCGTCCTGTTCAGTGTCAGGCAGATTGAATTATGTTTGGGTAGGTAACTAGTTACCACGCACAACAATGTTCCACTGTAAATATATTGGATGTCAGCATGTGTCTGAGAAGGTGCATAACTTTGTTCAGCACACAAAGCTGCACAGTAATGCCCCCAATTTTCACTATCAGTGTGGGGTGTCTGATTGCTCACGGAGGTACAGAAAACACACAGCACTGAAATCGCATATATATAGGCTGCATAAGTGCTACCTGCAAGCTGCTCGGCCTATACCGCCTGACATATCAGCTCTACCACCTGACACATCCTTGAAATGTGTGCTTGAGGCTTGTGCATTTAAGTGTGACACTTTAGCCTCTCTTATTAAGCATTTGAAGACACACGTAAGGGGAGGAATGGAAACTAAATGCCCATTTAGAGGTTGTGATTGCAGGTTCAAAACGTGATGACTTTTGCTTCACATATTAACAGGAAACATAGGCATGCAGAGGATTCAGTTTTAGATGACTTGGTACTAGACAAGTCTATTACTACAGAGTCATTGCCAGAACCCATTCAGTCATCTTCAGAAGCTGCTGGTGAACATGATGATGAACCAGAAGTGCCATTAGTTGTGAACGAAACCCTTTTTTTACATAACCTTACATGTTATGTAAAATGCCCCTCTCTTCTCCAACAAGTTAAAACTAGAGTGGAATATAAAACTAGGAACAACACTCTGGCTCGACGCCGACGAAGCCGAGAGGGAAGAAGGAACACTGGAGTAGCAGGAGAGTCCAGACTGACGAGAGGTCCTGTCGACCAATACGGGTATGTGTAGGGGTGGACAAAATATAGATATTGCAATTATTGTACGTTGAAGGTTTTGAAGATTACAGTAATAATAATTCCTTGCATTTACATAGCTCTTTTCAGGACACCCAGTGCTTTACAATGGTCTTCTCATTCACACACTGAGAAGCGGCGAACATACAGTGGCAGTGTCCTCTCCATTCACACTCACACACTAATGGCGATCAGCAACCATGCAAGGCACAGGGGTTAAAGGGGCACCGCCATGCTAGACTAACTTAGGTTATTTGAATTGAATGTTTAAATTATGTGTAGATTTTGTATAATCGCCGTCAGTGTATCTGTCATGATAATTGAAATGTTCCCACTCCAAAACCAGTCCAAATGATCGGCCCCAATAGTATTGATTTAACCTATGATTCCTATCCCTAGGTGTGTGAGGTGGTGCCCAGCAGAGTTACCAGAGGGGGAGACCGAGGCAACGTTGGAGGATTCGAAAAGGGATCTGCGGAAGATCTACTCAGGCATGCAATCTACCTTATTTTTGGTGAATTGACACCTGAATAAACATCCCACATTAAGCAAAAAGGCCACCTTAATATTCAGAATGAGTAATGATGAGAGCATGAAATTAAAGGTTTGACACTCAATGTCCCAGAGGTGGGGACATTGAATTTAATTGTTGTTACTTGGGTACTCTCAAACATGTATTTGTATGTCTGTACACAGAGGAAGGGATGGGTGGGGCAGAGAGAGCAGAACCTCTGATGATGAGGACCTACATCATCCTGCGGAGGTACCTCAAAAGAACGCCTGCACCAGCGATGTTTGAGGTCAAAGAGGAATGGCCTTTTCTCTTTTCTCAGAGAGGCCTTTTCTCCCACTTTGGCATCCTGACGGACGTCAACATACTTCAGAAGCTCCAAGAGGCCCTGGGTCAGAGAGGACAGACCATCCTGCATTTCTGTCAGAAACTGGACAACCCGAAGATCAGGGAATTTCTGGCCAGCTATGATCCAGAGGGTTCGGAGAAGGCTGCCTGCATTCTCCAGCTCCTTATGGTCTACTTTAAGGAGCCTACGGAGAAACTGATGCTCGAAGTTGATGTAAGTTTTTTTTAATTTATTTAAATATTTAAAATGCTAAACGAGTGATTACATTAGGGGCAACTGAAGCTCAGTTGGTAGAGCTGGTCGTTCATCGACCGTAGGGTTGGTGGTTCGAATCCTGGCTCTGACTGTCCACATGTCGGAAGTGTCCTTGAGCAAGACACTTAACCCCCAAGTTGCTCCAAATGGGCCGAGCTGATCTGTGTTGAGCTGTAGTGCGCGGATTAGCTGTTGCCTTAGCATCACCCAGGCGGGGGGCTACACATTGGTTTGCGGACGTCCATTTGTAAGCGCTTTGGGTGTCTTGAAAAGCGCTATATAAATGCAAGTTATTATTATTATTAGACCATTTATTATGTTCTGATTTACCTCTGACCAATGAACGATCTTCATCCTTGCATAATGTTAAATCTATGCTATTGTGTGTTACTTTGTTACAGACCTGTGCCACTGCTGCTGATGTAGTGAATACTGCAGCACTCCCAAGCACCCCCTGCTTGATCATTCAAGGTAATGTAATGTTCAGGGATGGGATTGTTCCTGTTTATACAGGATTTCCTGCTTTTCTGACCTGAATGGCTAGACTTCACTGCTGCTTTTATTCTAGTTATATAATTTCTCTTAGGGCATCCCTGTTCTGCTCCAACATCGATGAGGTATAGGATACTGAATAGTTACTCTAAAGAGCTTAAGTGTTCCTTTGCATCAAGGGGAGAATCTGACTGAAGGCCTTCCATCTCTCCTGCACTCCATTAAAGTCCAGTCTGTGAAACGACACTTACGATACTCTGACGCCATATGTTTCAGCGATTCGCATTAGTTAAAATCTATAGCCTGTTTCAATGATTCAGGGGTCTGACGAGTTGACATGTTCTCGTTCCAGCTGGGCTCGTAACCATCTACCCATAGAGGAATGAGGTTAAACCGTCTATCCATAAAGGCAGAGGGAGGAGGGCTAGGGAGTTGCTTTGTCGTTCAGCCAGATTCTCCTATCTGCACAAACACCTTTGATGCTTTTACAGTGACTGTTAAGTAGCCTACCTCACTGATGGTGGAGTAGAAAAGTGCTGTCCACCTGAAGTGGAGGGTTCTGTGTAATATCCTTGCATGCTCTGCACTGTATATTTTCCTGCTTTTTCGTCCTTGGCCAATCATGAATGTTACTCGGATCTGGTATTGACATCTCTAGCTCAAGTATTATTTTTGATTGATTCTAGGAATGTACCTATCCACAATAACGCATGACGGGGTATCTGTTCATTTCAGGTGACACAATGAAGCCTTCTGGGTGGATGCTATCCATCGAGGGACAAGTGGTAATGGGCCCACACCCATTCTTTTTGCATGGGGTAGCTGCTTTATTCAGCAGCTACTATGTCTTCAACCTCAAATATCCCGTTGGATCATGCACACTGGAGTTCATCCAAAGGTATTGTAACACTCAAACACATGATCAATGTCATCAGTAAGACTTGTCATGCAAATTTGTGTTTCACTATCTTGCTATTAAGTCCATGCCTTTCTACAGAGGCTATAAAGTAGATTAAATGCTTTGAGTATGAAGCCTGGAACCAAATATGCGAATTGGGACCACACCATCACTTGATGTTGCTGGGCTAGCTTGTTAAAAAATTGACATAATGGTTTAATTCACAATATAGTATGGCTTCAAAATTCAGATAAGTAAGTAAACCTTATGTTAGAGGTACCTGAGGCACTCTGCTAGGCTACAAATAATGTTATTGTGAGAGGATGATCCAACAGGTTTGGACTAGTAACAGTCGGTGTGGGAAAAGACACAGGTGAACACCTTGATAAATGCTGCCTGCAATACATGAGTCTATTTAAAACTGAAACTTATCTTTGCTTATTAACAGGTGCTTCTTGGGCATCAACCCGGAGAAAGGCTCCAAGGCAAAGAAGCGAAGCTCCATTAACCCTCACGTGAGCACCCTTCACCGGAAGCTGATAGACTTGGAATGGTCTGCATAGACTGCATGGTGTGCGGGGACAAGTTTAGTGGGAAGCATTACGGTCAGTTCACCTGCGAGGGATTATTTGTTTAAAGGATCCGTTAAGGGTTCATCTGTTTTTTATGGATAGTTGAGGTGAACTAGTTCATGTTCCTGTTTGTTTACTCTGTTGTTTATTTTGTCAATAAATATGCCAGTGGGCTTCCATTGATTTTACCTCATTTGTGCGTTTGGTGTGTTGTTTTTAATTGTACAATAACATTACGTGCATTTTTATAGTGCAGCTCCAGTACTTCCAGGAGGAAGCTCACACTTTGGTTTCCTGTTAAACTTGGACAGGAAACCATTGTATGAGCTTCCTCCAGGAAGTACTGGAGCTGGGAATTACAGTTATGCACGTGTATCATTGTAAATTACTGGCTACTCCTGCAGTACTTTCACAGTACACATTGTAAATTCATAGTAAATTACTGGCTACTCCTGCAGTACTTTCACAGTACACATTGTAAATTCACAGTAAATTACTGGCTACTCCTGCAGTACTTTCACAGTACACATTGTAAATTCACAGTAAATTACTGGCTACTCCTGCAGTACTTTCACAGTACACATTGTAAATTCACAGTAAATTACTGGCTACTCCTGCAGTACTTTCACAGTACACATTGTAAATTCACAGTAAATTACTGGCTACTCCTGCAGTACTTTCACAATAGAAATGTAAAAGTACAGGCCCTTGTTGTAATTAATGTACAACAAAATGATGTAATTCCCCAGTAACATACTGTAATATCACAGTAATTGAAGCTGTGAAGTTACAGTATACAGTTGTACCTTTACAACAATGCATTGTAATATCATGGATGTGAAATTACAATACATCGCTGTGAAGACATTCACAGTAAATTGCTGTGAACCTTACTGTGAAAGTCATGCAACAAGTTGCCAGGTAATTATTGTGAATTCACGGTGGATATTTTTACAGTGTACGGAGAAAAAAGATAGGATCAATGATGAGATCAAAACATTTCTCTCACTTTGGAAAAAAGCTTTCTACAAGCCACTGTCCAACAAGTCTTTATGTGTCCTTTCATACAGAGACACATGAGGAATCAAAGAGACGCGTCCAGCTGCTCCAAACCACTTCCTGTTGGCTCTAGTAATGATCTGTCCCCACTCCATTGAACTGATCTGATCAGTGCCTGACCCCATAGACCCCAGAGGGGAATGTCACGCTCACTTTCCAGCTCAGGACCAGACTCACAGTGATGCATTATGGGACCAAGCCTGTCTCAGAGCGTCTGATATTGAATAATATGAGGAGAAACTTTCATAATACCCAAAATAACAGCTGGCACAAAAAGCACACTTTAAACTTTGTGTGTAAAACTCAATTCATTCTCCGCCTTTAGCAACATGTCATTATTCATGCGCTCCCATATTTACAGGCTGACACGCTGAAAGGTAACAAACCGCTTACATCTATATATAAAGAAGATCAAGACAAAAACACAAGGGACTGATTCTGAGGACTGTGAGTGATAACATATTAAACAGTGAGTTATAACATATTAAACAGTGAGTTATGTGTCATATCTATAATAGCTTTATTATGTGTAGTGTTGACAGTTCTGCTGTTTAAGTGGTAGTCCTCCCTGGAACTCTCTGGGTGCAAAACCTAAGAGTAAATCATTTCCATGGGATTTGGGAGGACGGATAACAGGCAGAGCCCAGCGCTCAGAAATCTGTGATGCGACCGGTGTAGGAGCAAACACAATAGTGGTGGCTTAAAGCCCACCTCTGCTCCGCGCCGTCCTTTAGATGAGCCTGGTCAGATTTAATAAAAGGAGTTCAAAACACCGGCATAAAAGTTATAACAATAATCTGATTTTAATACAGTAAAAAACACAATACGAAATACAGAGTGCCCTGAAACAGAACACTCCGGGCTCCCCGCTCTACTGCCGTGCGATACAGATATCGGGACCAGCCAGTCAGAAACAGGGGGCATTTTGCATGAAGAAACAACAGTATATATGGACATATTTGGGGTGGAGAGCCACTTCTTATCTTCCACCGGACCCAACTCCTTTAATTTCCCAGGGAAGGTTTCACACAAACTATTCTTTTAAAACAATCAAACATTGTACACAGATATATTGGTGCTTGGGATTATTCGCCCCAGAAAGAACCTTGGAAAAAGAACATGTGTGTGTGTTAGTGATGGGAAGTGTATGTGTGTGTGTGTGCTGATAAGCGGAGGCGTATGTGTGTGTGTGTTGATATATGGGTTAAGGATTTTATGTATGTGTGCTGCATGGAGACAGGAGGTGTATGTGTGTGTGTCAGGGTGTCAGGGTCTCTGGGTCATGGAGTGTAAGTAAGAAGGTTTATATATATAGGATTACTTTAAACAGTCCCAAATAATACATGTTCACTTCAATACAGTTCAAGATAATACCTGTTTACTTTAATACAGTTTAGAACAATATCTGGGTGCTTTAATCCCTCTTTTGATCTCTCCTTCAGAGATCAATTTATACACAGCATTTGAAACATAACCTACTGTCATTCTTTTCTACTGTCTGTTCCCCAACATTTATATAAATCCATCAGAAGCTGGGATTTAGAGCACTTTTAAACCTTTAGGAACAGGCCATCATAACAACTTCTTATGACAGTGGAGGTAGACCAAAATATGTTAAAAAAACTCGTCCTTGTCGGCTGAGTCATCGTGCTCGTCCTCCTCCGACGCGTAAGCCAGCAAGGGCATTTGGTACGAAGGGGAAGGGGCAGCTTCTCCCTCAAATTAAAGCACCCAGATATTGTTCTAAACTGTATTAAAGTAAACAGGTATTATCTTGAACTGTATTGAAGTGAACATGTATTATTTGGGACTGTTTAAAGTAATCCTATATATATAAACCTTCTTACTTACACTCCATGACCCAGAGACCCTGACACACACACACATACACCTCCTGTCTCCATGCAGCACACACACATAAACTCCTTAACCCAGATATCAACACACACACACACACACACACACACACACACATACGCCTCCGCTTATCAGCACACACACACACACATACACTTCCCCTCACTAAACACACACACATGGTCTTTTTCCAAGGTTCTTTCTGGGGCGAATAATCCCAAGCACCAATATATATGTGTACAATGTTTGATACCATTATATCTGTGTACAATGTTTGATTGTTTTAAAAGAATAGTTTGTGTGAAACCTTCCCTGGGAAATTAAAGGAGTTGGGTCCGGTGGAAGATACGAAGTGGATCTCCGCCCCAAATATGTCCATATATACTGTTGTTTCTTCATGCAAAATGCCCCCTGTTTCTGACTGGCTGGTCCCGATATCTGTATCGCACGGCAGTAGAGCGGGGAGCCCGGAGTGCTCTGTTTCAGGGCACTCTGTATTTCGTATTGTGTTTTTTACTGTATTAAAATCAGATTATTCTTATAACTTTTATGCCGGTGTTTTGAACTCCTTTTATTAAATCTGACCAGGCTCATCTAACGGATGGCGCGGAGCAGAGGTGGGCTTTAAGGAACCACTATTGTGTTTGCTCCTACACCGGCTGGCCTGTATTGTCATCACCCAGGAAGAGCGCCTCTTCAACCCCTATTCATACTAGGAAACAGCAGTGGACAGCTGCTGAAGGGAGAACTACAAACAATCCTCCTAAACCACTGAGTGTGCCAATCCAGAACAGATACGCTCCGCTGACACAGAACCGGAGATCTCTTTCTGATGACCTGGATAACCTGTCCTCTTCACACAGCAGGGTAAGGACCAATAGCTACTACAAAAGTAAAAGGCTAGAGGGAAAGCTAACGACTGGGCCTGAAACTCTGATTGTGGGTGACTCTGCTGTAAGAGATGTAAAAGGTCTGTGTAATAAGAACAACACCAAAGTACTCTGTTTTCCCAAAGATGTGGTCTCTGACTTGGCTGAGAAGATCCTGCATATTGGGGCTGAACATCCGACTGTGAAGAATGTGGTACTGCACATTGGAACAAATGATGTTGTGAAACAACAGTCAGAAGTGCTGAAAGAAGACTTTAAATGTCTGTTAGAAACTGTCAGCTCTCTAAATGCAGAGGTGTTCATCAGTGGCCCTCTACCGCCAGTCAGAAGAGGAGTGGAGATATTCAGCAGATTGTTTGCACTGAACATCTGGCTTTCAACTGTCTGTACTGACCATTCTGTCAATTATATTGACAACTTTAACTTTTTCTGGGACCGCAGACATCTTTTTAAGGCAAATGGAGTTTGTCTGAACAAGTCAGGAGTGAAATTGTTTATCTTTAACGTATTCAACTGCCTACGTCATCAATCTGTTCCCTCTGCCAAGGACAAGCAACAAGAGGAATCAAAACAAGAGAAAGACACAACACATCGCGCAGAAAACCCTGAATAATTATCACTGCACCCGCCTGAGGAATGTCTTGATTATGGGAGACAAATGGAGGAGTCTCCACCGCCCTTCACACCCCTATCACCTCTGAGGATACTCTTCCTTCACCCCACAGCCCTCTCTTCTCTCCGTTCACCCTTTCACCCTCGCCCATCCTCCTGGAGATCGCTGAACACAAAGGAGATACAGAGGGTTGGCACCGATTCCTTCCTGGAGTTCAAAGACCAAACTAAGGCGATACGCAGGGCTGGCAGCATGTCCTTTACCCCCGCTCCTCAACGACGCTGAGGCTGAATATCTTTAAGGTTGTGGTGACTGATGTTGCACTCTCTGATCATTCCTGTGTGTTCTTTGAGAGCTCTATTTCTGTTCACAATTTTTTTCAAAAAGAGGTAACCACAAAGCGATATTTAACTGAAAACACTAGGGAAATGTTTACTCAGAATTTTTCTTCCACACTTGCCCCTGCTAACATCTCAGTAAATGAGCTAGTAGATCATTTTAATTCAAACATTTAAAATGTTATAGATGCCATTGCTCCAACTAAAGTAAAGGAAGTGTCTGGGAAGAAAATA